GCCCTTCCTGTTCAACCCTCACCAGTTCGCTTGGCACGACTTTTTCATCGACTACCGTGACTATTTGCGTTGGCTGTCTCGTGGTAACTCTCGTACCCACCAGTCTTCGTGGATCGGTTTCTGCCGTCTGTCCCGTACCCGTATCACCGGTTACAAGCGCAAGCTGCTCGGTGTTCCGTCGGAGAAAGGCGCTGGTGACGTGCCAAGGGCGCGCATTTCCAACGTCTTCTACAGCGAGATCTTCATCCCTCTGATCTTGGTCGGTGTCACCATTATTCCGTACTTTTACATCAACTCCAGAACCGGTATTGAGAAGACAACAAACGACAAAAACCAATCTGATCCTATCTTACGTATCGCCATCGTTGCTTTCGGTCCCATTGGTATCAACGCTGGTGTGTCAGGTGCCTTCTTCGGTATGGCCTGTTGTATGGGTCCTCTCTTCAGCATGTGCTGCAAGAAATTCGGTGCCGTTCTCGCTGCCATCGCTCACGCTATTGCTGTGATCGTCCTGCTTGCCATTTTCGAGGTTATGTTCTTCCTTGAGGGATGGTCCTGGCCTCGTTGCGTTCTCGGAATGATTGCCATGATTGCCATTCAGCGGTTCATCTACAAGCTGATCATTTGCTTGGCGTTGACTCGTGAATTCAAGCACGATCAGTCCAACATCGCCTGGTGGACCGGTAAATGGTACAGCATGGGTTGGCACTCCGTCTCGCAGCCCGGCCGTGAGTTCTTGTGTAAGATCACCGAACTGGGTTACTTTTCTGCCGACTTTGTTCTGGGTCACCTTCTTCTTTTCCTCATGTTGCCGGCTCTCTGCATTCCTTTCGTGGACAAGTTCCACTCTGTCTGTTTGTTCTGGTTGCGGCCAAGGTAAGTTTCTACCCCAGCTTTCCATCTGTTTGAACCGTATCTAACTCTGTCTATAGTCGTCAAATCCGTCCTCCCATTTACTCCCTGAAGCAGTCGAAGCTTCGCAAGAGAAGAGTTATCCGTTTTGCCATTCTCTACTTCACGATGCTCATTCTTTTCCTTGTCCTGCTTGTTGTGCCCCTGGTCGCTCGCAAGTACAAGGGCGCATTGGGTCTTGACTCTGATCCTCTGTCGAGCGTCGCTGGTGGTGGTCTGTTGCAACCTCTCGACGACAAGAACAACAACACCATCGATGGGTACACTGGTAGCAACCTGCCGCCTGGCATGCAGGCGATTACCAGCGGTTTTGGCGCGCCCACTCCATCTGGTTCCGCAAGTTCTTAAAGTACTTTGTTTTTTAAATTTTCAATTCTATTGTCATGAAAGGGCGTTTTCTCCATTCCCCCCCCCGTTTTGCTGAGTTTTCAGCCCCTGGAGCATCAACACGAGCTGTATAACGTATCCAATGTCTTTGAAAGAGAAGAACCAAGAAAAGGAAAATACAGAAAGCATGGAAGAAAGGGGATAAACCCAGCGGTTCTTTTGATATATTCTCTTCGTGTCGTTTTGTGTCCATTTTAATGAAGCCCATTTTTGTGTTTACTGCTTGTATTCTCGGTGTTCTGTTCCCTCATTAGATTTCCAATCGTTTCTCAATTTCATTACCGGCTTTCTCGATTTCGCTGATTCCCTCGTTTTTTGTGAATTAGAGCAAATGCAACGATTATCATATACTAGGGTATTATGTTCTATTAGTAGAACCGCGTAGTTGCTCTCGATTCATAAAATTATGCATCTTGGGGTCACGTGCCTTCCCGCTCGACTTCCGCGTCGCTCCTTGAATCAATCCCCGACGTCTGTCCTGTACGCCTCGACTCCTTGTCCATCCCGTTCATTTATATCACTTCTTTTTTTTTTTCCTCTGAACCACAACAGATACTCACTTCTGACACTCCCTTTCGATTGTTGCGCCGCGAGCGCTGTCCATTTTTCAGTCATGGATATCCAGGAGACCCAACGTCTCCTTTCGGAGTACCTCCATGAACTAGCAAATCTGTTCCATCAGCTCCCCGGATCTGCTATTTTCCTTCGCTATGTGAAGTCGAGTTATCAAGATGACCCCATTCGGTCGATGGTCGAATTGTTCCTTTTCCTTTTCGCTGTGCGGTATTTGCTTGCGCCCAAGTATTCGACGAAGCCTGGTGTTGTTCAACTTTCGGACGATGAAGTTGATGATTTGATTGATGAATGGACGCCGGAGCCGTTGGTGGGAAGCCCTACGCCTCTGGAGGAGATGGAGGTTGAGAAGAGGACTGTTATTGTTGGGTATGATTCTCTGTTTCTGTGTGAATGCTTTCACTGACGCCTCGTATAGTCCCGTCGGCCCCAAATCCAAGCTCTCGAATGGTCGCACCGTCATGAACCTCGCATCCGTCAACTTTTACAACTTTAACACGAACGAATCGCTCAAGGAAAAGGCTATCCAAACTCTTCGCGACTACGGTGTCGGTCCCTGTGGTCCACGTGGATTTTACGGTACGCAGGATGTGCACATGAAGACTGAAGCGGATGTGGCGTCATACCTCGGTACTCCGGCCTGTATCATCTATGCGCAGGCGTTCTCAACAATTTCCAGTGTTATCCCCGCGTTTTCGAAGCGTGGTGATATCATTGTTGCGGATAAGGGTGTTAGCTTTGCTGTTCGGAAGGGTATCCAGATTTCTCGGAGTATTGTGCGGTGGTATGAACATAATGATATGGAGGACCTGGAGAGGGTTCTGGCCAAGGTTACCAAGGAGCAAGCCAGGAAGCCGCTCACTAGGAGGTTTATTATCACTGAGGGTATTTTTGAGGCACACGGTGATGTGGTGAATTTGCCTAAGATTGTATGCACCCTTCCTTCCTGAACTATCTTTGGGACGTTGCGCTAACCTGATCCTGGCAGATCGAGCTGAAACTTAGGTACAAATTTCGACTTATCCTCGACGAGACTTGGTCGTTCGGTGTCCTTGGACGGACTGGCCGCGGTGTGACGGAACACCAGAATGTCGATGCAGCGGAGGTTGATATGATTGTGGGATCGCTGGCCGGCCCACTCGTCGCAGGCGGAGGTTTCTGCGCTGGTTCGGAGGAAATCGTCCATCACCAGCGTATCTCTGCAGCGGCATACACATTCTCTGCCGCCTTGCCCGCCCTTTTGTCTACGACTGCCAGTGAGACGATTAACCTTTTACAAAATAACGCCGATATCGTCTCTCAGCTACGGGAACAAACCAAGGTTATGAGGGCACAGTTGGTTCCTCGCAGTGACTGGGTTTATTGCACCAGCGCTCTGGAGAACCCTATCCTCATCCTGCCTCTTAAGCCTGAGGTGGTTGCTGCTAAGAGATTGTCGTTTGAGGACCAACAGTTTTTGTTGCAGGATGTTGTTGATGAGGTATGTTCACTTCATCTGATAACCTAAAGCTTGTCTAACTGTTCTAGTGCACGGCAAATGGAGTCCTCGTTACCCGTTTGAAGTTTCTCGATGACAATTTTGAACCCAGGCAGCTCCTTCTTCCGGCGCTGAAGGTCTGCGTGACCACCGGCCTGACCCGGAAAGAGATTGAAAAGGCAGGGACAATAATCCGCCATGCTATTACGAAAATCGTCAACAGGAAGAAGTAATGTCTTACTGTTTAGACTACAAAAACGAAGTTTGTTCATGACATTCATGTTGCCATGGTTTTCCCTGTGTTTCATAAGGTTACGTTGGCTTCTTCATTCTCGGCCCGCTTCTTTAGTTCACCTTTAATTCCTGTCTATTATTATCGACCCTACATACACTATTTGTATAGCATGTCTACGAAGAGGATGGTTTGGCTATCCCTTTGCACAGTGGCCGCCTTGTACTAAAACACTGACTCTTTTGATTCTGTTGGCGAGTCTTGTTCAGCTTCGCATCTGTTTTGGTCATGTTTTCTTGCTTTCGACGTGGGCATTATTAGACTTAATTCATACATCTTTAATACGGATTGACTTAATACCTAATGCCGAAAGCATAGTTGGAATTTCCTGCTAACAAGAATTAGGCAAATCGAGTACTAAGTGTAGCAGATGGCATCAAAACATGGTAAAACGGAAAACCAATGTCGTAACTCCCTTGATGTCTCCCCCTCCACAAACCTTCCCTTGCCAAGACACACAGCATTCTGTTCTAGGAGTACCACACCCCTTTGCCCCTCAAGGGCCTCAAGGGAACACAGAAATTAGACATCATATCGCTATGTACAATCATTCCTGATTAAATTACCCCAGAGTCCGGAGTATTTAATCGCATCTAGATCCCACGAGCTCCTTCCCGGCCACGCATTCCTGGGAGGTTATTAGCCCCAGGCATTCCGCGGAAGGAACATTTTCTTTGAATCAGGTTTGTGGGACATTCTTCATTCTTGGGGCCGTGTGTTAGGAGTTGGAAAGTGTTGCATTGCATTGTGTTACTGTGTTGGATTGGATTGAATGGGATTTCGTTGGTAGGGTTGGTTTATTGTCTGTTACATGCTCGCAGTGCGGGGTGCTTGAGATTTGTATTGGGATTGTTGGATTTGGATTAGTTATTCTATTGACTATGGCTATGGACTAACTTGCTTCTTCGAGGCTTTTTACGTCTTGATACCCCCAATTACTTTGATCGAGTGTACATCGGATACGGTATACTTGATTAGGGTTGCTACCTACCAAAGCCAATCAATATATGCGATTACAAGAAAAACAAACCCAAGATCAACATGCGACATCTCGCCCAAGCTTTGATAACAATATATGCCCTGCTCGCAATTGCAGTTGCAGCTCCTCATGGTATTCCCCTTTCTCTATTTGACCCTTATCGAATGTCTGGACTAACCCCATGCTAATGCACAGGTATCTCGTATAATAACATCCAACACCACAAACGAGATGATCCAGATCAACATTTACCACCCGAAATAGAGGAACCAGGGCTAGATTCATTACCTCGCCACCATTACAATCACAACCATTACCATGGCCACGACCACGGCTACCATGGCAAACCACCTACCGGACAACCATCACCAAAGAAACGAAAATTCGGAATTTCCTATTCCCCTTACAACACAGACAGTACCTGTAAATCCCAAGATGAGGTGAATGCTGATATCGACAGACTTGTTTCAGCATCACTACTACCGCCAGAAAACAATAAAGAAATCGAGGATAGTGACTATGGCTTCATTAGAATCTACGGTATAGACTGCAACCAAACCGCCACCGTGACAACAGCCGCAAAACGACACAATCTCCGCGTTTTCGCTGGAATATTTGATCTCTCTGATTTTCCACATTCGCTCGACGCCATTATCGACGTCGCACATTCACATTCCCACCTAGAAGTCCCCGAAGGAGGCGAAGAAAACGGCTGGTCCATTTTCCACACCATAGCAATCGGCAACGAACTAGTCCAAACGCACCAATCCACAATCCCAGAGGTAATCTCCGCCCTCCACCAAGCACGCAGCATCCTCCGCTCCGCAGGCTACAACGGGCCCGTCGTAACAGTTGACACATACACAATGCTCCTCGAACACCCGGAACTATGTGAAGCATCTGACTACTGCGCGGCGAATTGTCATGTGTTCTTCGATGCAACGCAGACACCTGACAGGGCGGGGGATTATGCGTTTGACGTTGCAAGAAGGATTTCGGAGGGGACGGAGGGGAAGAGTGGGGGGAGGAAGAGGACTGTTATTGCGGAGAGTGGGTGGCCACATGATGGGGTTGCGAATGGGAGGGCTGTGCCGTCGGGGGAGAATCAAAGGGTTGCTGTTGAGAGTTTGAGGAGGGTGTTTCGGGAGCAGAATGACGAGGGTGAGGATGGGGATGCTGGGCTGGTGTTGTTTACGGCGTTTGATGATTTGTGGAAGGTTGATAATGAGGGGACGTTTGGGGCGGAGAGGTTTTGGGGGATTAATCGGTGATCTTTGTTTGTGAATTTGTTGTATTCTATGCTATACTGTATACAACATCTGTATAATAGCCATCTATATGCTGTACTTTAGCAATAAAAAATGATCCATGCAATGATGCATAAGCAATGCAAACTTCAGACCATGTATCACTCCAATGAAACGTTTTGTACCGCTTCCTCAACGCTGACCGTGTGTTCCCCTGTATCACTCTGCTCAGACTGCTGCGCCTGCTTTCGTCCCCAGCGACGTGTCTTTGGTGGTTCAGGCTTCTGTCCTTTCCCTTGCTGCACCATGTTATTAAGATTACTTTGGTTATTATACTGGTTGTTCTGGGACTGCACAGCAGGATGAATTGCCGATCGTCTTGGTGGAGGTACAGCTGGGGGAGGATTCGAAGCAGAGCGTCGCAAGTGAGCAGGAATGGGTGGTGCGAGAGAAGAAGATGTACTTGTTGATCTCCGTCGAATGCCTGTTCCTGGCGGTGGTGGAGGCGGCGTAGGAGTGACAGCTCTTGTAATTGGACTAGATGGTACCTGTGAGTCTTCCGGGATTCTGTCGACGTTCTCATCTTCCTCGTTATTGCGCCGTCCGCGCCATCGTCTCGTTTTAGGCGGTTCAGGTTTAATCTTCGGTCTAGGTTTGGCACCAGGGTGCACGGATTCTGTTCCTGGTGGGAAGTCTGTTCGGCTTGGTGTGATGACGCCGGGTTTCTCATGTTGAGATGCTACCTCAAGTACACTCAGGGAGGACGAAGAAGCCGGTTCCAGATGCATCCCTAGTCGTTTCACTGCGCTCAGTTTACGGTGGTGATGGCGTATGTCAGGCGAGCCAGGGGCTTTCTGGTGGCCGATTGGCGACGTAGTACCCCTGTCAGAGCTGCTGCTGGATGATGTGGTCTGCGATGCTTCCAAGGGTTCACCGGTGGCTGCGGAGACGGATCCTGCACGAGATGCAGCCTGTGATTCAGGCTCAGGTTCCACACCCCGCAGCCACTCGACCGCTGCGCATCGCATCACGAGTCGCTTTGTCGTTTCGTCGACATCTTCAAAATGCTGGATCCTCTCCTCGTCCGTCTCCTGCGCAGAGAGCTGACCGCGAATGAGGATGTTAAGCATGCGCTTCAATTCGTCCCGTTTGTAATATGGTGGATATCTCAATTGAGTGTGAGCGAGCAACGGGTAAAGCACGCGGAGGTAGGTGTGTCGTAGAGCGGAAGCTTCCTCGGGAAGATCAAGCAGGTTTCGAATAAGAATGTCAACTAGGACACGCAGGTCATTCGTGTAGAAGTACTCAAAGGTGGATGGAGTGGTGAAGAGGAGGTACAGGAGCTTGAGAGTGAGGAGCTGGAGGGATGTTTCAGCTGTTCAGGTTAGCACCCCGTGTACCATGTGTCCAAGCAAAAAAAAAAAAAAAAAAAAAAAAAAAGA